AGAAAGCGGAGGCCTTCTCGTTGTGGGGAGACTCGAAGAAGGGGGTGGCGGCGAAGGCGGTGGCAATAGCCAGGGAGAAAACAATCTGGAAAAATACAAAACATTGTAGAATGAATAAATGTCAAGTTATTGTACAAAATTGTACTAGTTATAAATAACAATACTATACAGTTTTTTTTTCAATTTTGTACTTGCAATCGAATGGAGTTATTTATTTAGCATTCATTGATAATTAGAAGATTCCATTTATATTGTTGGAAATAATAAAAAAAAATGTACTTTGCTTAAGAGGAAGAGCATTTCCAGCAAATTTGAGAGGACAGCGAGTAAGAGAATGTGTTGAACAGTTATCCTTGGTATTATTACCCCTGAAAAAATTTAAATTGATTGTACTAGGTATCACCACAAACTAATTCTCGACATATTCTATTTAGACACCATCATTCTTCCATTGGGTAGAATATTTAGATCATGTAATAAGGTATCATCGTAACGTAGTAACATCAAAAATTTCTTTTGACCAATTAATTTTCTTTAAAGTGGTTCGTACTGTTTGCTTTGAAATATTTTAACACATGCAAAACAAATATAAAATTTAGCTCACCCAAGCATTAATTGGAAGCATAGTGTAGTTAACATAGATTTTAATTAGACAAGATCCCAGGTAAATAAAAATAATTATGATTCTTGTCATTTCACTTGTTTGTTAACAAACACGAGGCGCTTAACTAATACATAATTACGAGGTAATATAGCAAAATAAACTGCTATTTTACTGAATTAAATACCTTTTATGGTTTTAAAATCTAGTGGGTATATATAGAGTTTAAACTGATGAACTGTGTTTTTAAATAACAAACTATTTTGTAAAGGGTGAACCAAAAAAACAGGGACAATTTTAAAACGTTATTACTCAGCTGTTATAAGGGCTGGAGAGTTCATTGATGCGACAAAATAAAGTTTATTTAATGCCATTTAGTGTATAGTTACTATGGATCATCAATGGTTACCGCAACATCGTGCCTTTGTCATAGAGACTTTTTTGAAGAATAATTTGACTACTCAACGTTAATTTCGTTTTCACTTCAACATGTGCCGTCATAGTGCAACCCCAAAGCGAAAAACTATTTAAAGTTGGGTAAGTAATTTCCAGAACACGTCTTCTGCACTCAAAGTCAAACCTAGTGGGATACCTCGGACTGTTCGAACGCCAGAAAACATTGAAATGGTTCGCGCGAGTGTCCTGCGTCGAGCGTCCAAAGCCAACCGTTTGCAAAACATTGCATTGAAATTTAAATTTGCATAGGTTTAATTTTAAGTACAAAAGCCGTGTTTAGGACGTTGTTTACCCATCTTTGAGTAGTTTATTCGGTTGGGGGTTGCACCATTACGGCCACAGTTGAAGTGAACACGAAATTGACGTTGAGTAGAAATGAAAGTCAAATTATTCTTCAAAAAAGTCTCTATGACAAATGCACGATGTTGCGGCAACCATTGATGATCCATAAAACAATACACTAAATGGCATCAAATAAACTTTCTTTTGCCGCATCAATGAATTCTCCAGCCTTTATAACAGCTGAGAAATAACATTTTAAAATTGTCCCTGTTTTTTTGGTCCACCCTTTACTAAATGAAATGTTTATATGTATTTTAAAACTCATTCTCCTACATAGGTTTGGCTGTCTATTGGCTGTTGGACTCTGGGGTGTGTTGGTGTGTTGTACCGGCGCGGCGAGAGGCCAATGTCAAAATTATGTAACCGGGTTCAGGTCAAGGTTCAGCTGGTTTACCTTGTATCAAGGTCTGATATCTATGTATACTATTAAACTATGAAAACGCAAACTAAATTTATCAAAATATATTGTAACTGTAAGCCGCTGATATACAGTTAATTGTTAATTAAAATGAAAATGTTTATTTATTCTTGATATAGTCAAGTTTAATAATTAATTTGGTTATTTATTTATTTGATTTCGTAATAAAGATTTATCTTTTCTTAAATTTATGCAATCAAAAAATTAACTGGAGGTTTGGGGTTGTGCGAAACTAATTACAATCAGGTTAAATGATTATTGTAATAAAATTTGCTATTTTTAATATTCCGTATTAATAAGTTGTTTTGGTAATACAAGAAGTTATGGTTCGAATAGTATGCTTTAACTGAAACTTTATCCTTTTAACGTGATCTAATGGTGTCACTTTTCATGATATAAAATACCTAAACATCATTATCACTTTAAGTTTTTAAAAGTTAACTTAACTGAATTTGTTTAACTTGTATGACAGATTGTTCCGCTGTTACTGCGACTTCTTCTCCAGAGAAATAATATTGCTTGTATGTATGCTTTCCCAATATTCTTTTCTATAGATTACATATTTCGTGGTGCTTGATCAATATTTCATTATATTTCCGTATTCTTTTAACATTTTGTTGATTTAATATGCGTAGGCCTATGCATACACCGTAACAACTATCAAATTACAGGGTGATTCCAAATTATTGTTACAATTTTGAAACTCTACAAATGAAAAACTATACAATCTGTCATCACGGGATGAGGAACAATTGAAAGAGAAGATTCTAAAGTTTTGTATGACAACACCATAGTTGCAAAATTAGCCTCTACAGACTTTTTTTAATTTTACTACGATTTTATAGTAATTAATAACACACATTATCTTTCCAAATCTCAAAACTACATACTCTATGTTTAATTGTAAAAAGTTTTCATTATTACTGCTGGGTATCAATTAGTTCTATAATTTACCGTTCATTTATTGTTGTCCTCCATTATTGTAAGCTGTGGGGACCTTCAAAATTCAAAAAGTGTTCTGTAGGGTTTGGGAGGACTTCAATCATCGAATGTATTTGTGCTGCGAAGCCAGAGTTTTATGGATTTTAAATTGTGTAATTAATTTAAACCCGTAGTTAAAATATAAAAATGTCTGTAAAGGCTACTTTTGCTTCTATTTTTTTTTACAAAGTGGTGTCAAACTAAACTTTAGAATCTCCTCTTTCAATTGTTTTTCACCCCGTGATGATAGGTTGTATGGTTTTTAATAGATACAGTTTTAAAAGAGTAACAATAATTTAGACTCACTATTGAAGATAAATTTTGGATACGGATAAATTGTATAAATTTTATGACGACTTTCCTTGAATATTTAATTTTACCTAAACTTGTTTCTTGAAAATTCTTTCGTTGAAAGTGTAATAGCTTAATTTTGTATTCAATATGAGGTGTAGGATTTTATAATAAAACATCGAAGCATTATTATCATCGCATTAATGCATTTTATTCCAATTTATTTTAATATCGGTTCAAATAAAAATGGTACAAGTTTTACTCGAGTATTAAGCTTATTTGGTAAGAAAGGAATGCATATTTACAAGCTTAAAAGTTTCTTAATTGATGAAAAATGGGCCTTCGAATGGATTATAACACAGCGTACAGCGACTCCTAACAAATGTTTACTGATGGATTTATATTGCAAACTTTAAAATTATTTCAACCCCAAAGGTACATAAAATGCATTAAATATTACCCAAAACGAACCAAGACTTGAAATTTATTTTACAGCAAAATTTATATCATATTAAAACTTGATTTTTATATAAATGATAAAAATATGTTTAAATGGTCTGTTACTCACCAGGGACTGCATGTTGGTGTGTAGGGTTGCACTGTTGGTACAATGTAGTCAAGTAGTCACCAGAGCCCATATATACCTCCAGCCATGGTCAAGTGTAGGACCTTGGACCAAGCAAGGATTGAGAATCGATCCTTTCTTAAAAACCTGGCTCAATTATTTTTGGTGTGGAACCGATAAACTAATTTGCAAGTTTTAATATGTGGGTTAAGGTCTGGTTAAATAGATTAATGTTGGAACTATTAGTGTCCGTGTTTTGGTATGATATTGATTCTAAGAATATGTTTAATTATTTTATTTGAGTAGGCCTATACCACTGAGACTTTTTCATAAAATTTTGCATCTTCCTCTAAAGAAGCTTTGAGATTCTCCATCTTTCCGTCCTGGACAATGGGAAGTTAATAACAACTGGGAACATGTAACTGATTACTTAATCCATTTAATTAGAGTAAATTAAGTAAATCGTGTAATTAGAGTCATCTGCCTTAGTACACTTAATTTTATTTAAATAAAATGAATTTTAGTTTTACGAAGATGTTAACAACTTTTTTATGGTAAACTAAAAAATTCACAAAATTACTTTTAAAATAAAAGGTGGTTTAGCTGACTTAAGTTAAAAGTTAATGACAATTAACTCGTTCTTAGTAGATATATTTTCTTGTTATTTCTACAATAAATACAGATTTGTTTTTAGTACATACAAATTTAAGAGTAAATGTGGGGTTTTTAAGAAAGGAAGACCAGTTACATTCTCTTTAGATTTTCCACGAGCTTTTAACACTTTGAGATTTATAACATGATAAAAAGTGTAATTGAAGCAATTAAGTTCATCGCAATGCTGTTTAATGAATTATTGTTCTGACTCTTTAGTGGTTATTGTGACGTGACCCGTTACACTTATGAGACCTCCATTTTATGCATCTTTCAGGAATTATAATAACTGTAAGATTTTCAATGTATTTTGTTTTTGTGTAACTTTTGACGATTTCATAAAATTCGATTCTCTGTACAGTCATATAATATTCTATATCCCTATATTTATTCTCTCAACAGGAGGTTATACCATTACTAGTAGAACGTTACTACGGGATGTACAAGAAATTAAAGGGTTTACTACTTAGTTAAAAGTTTCACAAAATATTCTAAGAATTTTTTTGTGAAAAGCGTTATCAAAATGTTATCAAACAATAAAACAACAATTTTTCGGATGAAAAGTAGTTGACAAAGAATTATAAACAAATATGTACAACGTAAACTTGACTCATTATGCTGTATGTATAAGGTAACGATATTGCACTTCTTGAGGGAATTTTTAAATAAGCATACACTCAATTGGTAACGTAATTTATTCAGTCATTTTCTTAATCTAATCAAAGTCCGTGTTCATGGTGGTGATGGAGAACATTTTCGTCGTGATGTTCAAAGAAATGAATCACGGGTACTTTGATTGGAATCTGATGGCCAACATGAAGAATAAAATTCTGGTAAGACCTGGCTGGCTCATGGTGTTCTTTATGTCCTTCGTGCAGTTCAAAATTCAGTTCTTGGTGTTCAGATTCATGCTCTGCCAGTTCTTGGTGTTCAGATTCATGCTCTCCCAGTTCTTGGTGTTGAAACTCGGACTCGTTGACTTCAAAATGAGGTTGATAAGTCTGTTCATGAAGTTCTACTCTTGGTTCATGATGTTCAAAATGTCCATGTTCAAAATGGGACTCTTTTTCTACGTGATGAGTCTCATGTTCCTCGTGGTGGCCAGCGAACGCAGTCGCTGCCAGCATTATGACAACTAAAACCTAGAATTAACAAAGTATTTATTATTACTGGTACATAGTAAAATTATAATAATAATAACAATATACGACATTACGTTGGCCCAAGTAAAAAAATAGTTAATACTAGCTGTTGTACCCGTGCTTTGCAACGGGAAGAGGACACAAAATAGAAACATTTTAATCTTTATCTCTTGCATATAATAGTTACACATCTGCCAACGCTTTTAGAAACAAAATTCAACTTTTATGGCCTTAATAGAAACGTTAAAGTTATGATTTTTAAATATGGTAAGTAGTGGATAACCACCATTTTGCTTTTGATTAATTTTAAATCTTGTGTAGGCTGATATGAGAAAAAATGACCAAATATTCGAGTAAAACTTTGACATACATGATTTACCAGATTTACCTTCATCTCCCTTAATTACACATCTTTTAATTTATTATTGACATTTTAAATTTCAATTTTGAAGTTGCAAAAATACTAATTATTAAATTTAAATATCTTTATATTAAACTCTTCTTTATATTAAATTACAAATCCTTTCATCTTCAGTTTTTTCACTCACAATAAATCATTAGCAAAACTAAGTCAGCTGTTATAAAATTTAGAAATATTGCTGTGCCTTATCAATACAGTCTTTTGAAATATTAAAGAAACTATATCTATAGGTACTATAAAGAATTTCAAACAAATATAATTTAGCATTAAAGACAGCAGACAAAACTAATATGATTATCAAAGCATCAAGGACTAAAAAATGTAATAGCAAATACAGTATATGTTTCATTGCATCTCTGATTCTACTATACAAAAATATCAACATACAACTTAATATACAAACCAGTTCTTTTAAACAGTTCCATCGTCCATTTCCTTTACATTTTCACATTTACCATTAAGAAAACATAGTAACAGATATTTCATTGATTTTAGAGACAAAAGAACACTGTGTACTGCTTAGTTTTATGATATTTTCCTTGGTTTAATTACATCAGTGGTGTAGCAAAATACAAATAATAATTGTATCATATAAAGTAAATGTGAACTGAAAGCTATGTTAAGATAAAATAAGAGTATTTTGTATTACCATTTGATAATTAAATATAGTTACACATATAAAACAGATTTTAGAAAACTAAAATCAACGACAATTTAGTTATTGATGATATTCTTTAGTTTAATTTAAGCATAGGTTTAGCAAAACACAATAACTTAATTTACCTAAATATACATATAAAAAACACTGTGATGTGCAAGTTATGTTAAGTTATTCTAACACATGTGAAGCAGTTATAATTTATTTAAAGTAGCCTCCAAATTCATACAAAACATCCATACATTGTAATTTTCATACTGTCTCCATGAAAACATACCAATAACATTATTTTCACTTAAGATTACTAACTTAAGACGCTTTAAAAAATCCAAAGCATAGGAGTTGATACAGCAACGGTTAAAATCTTTTTTTTCTATAATCATTGGCATAGTTTTAGAATAAATAATCCATGATAAAAGTTTAGATTAAAATAAACCTACCTCATATTTATGGAAAATATTATATTTAATTTCTTTGTATCAGCTGTCTGAAATTGTGAAATATGCAGTTTAGCAGTTCTTCTTGTTTATATTTAAATGTCAAAGCAAATGTAAACAAACATTGTTAGTGTTCTCATCACAGCCATGGAGACCAATCAATATTTACTTTTAAAATGTTCACCTCAGAACTTTTAAAGCCAAAGGGGCAAAGCCTACTGTCAGTATCGAAATGTGAATAGTCCTATAATGGTCCTTGGTATGGTAGCTATATTTTTGTAAAATTTAAGCCCAGTTGGTTCAGTAGTTTTTGCACCTATTAGTAATACACATACAGACAGATACCATTAGATTTTTATATAATAGTATAGATATAGATAATATAAAATGTAAATGGTAAATAATCAAAACATAGCAAGTTTCCTCAGTAAAATCGCTATTTATGTCTTTTTGAAGCATAATAAAGTACCGAATACAAATTGGTGCCAAATGTTCAAAACTAATGATTAATTAATAGGTTTGTGTTAAACAAATTAGTTATGACAGCGTAGGACTGATCTTTGTTGATTACGTGTACTTATTTTTCGTGTAAATGCGTGTGTAGTATCTTTGGATTCAGAGAATGATTTTAAATCATTATTTAATACGAAAAATAGATACAAAATTATTAGTTTTCTTCTTTGATCGATTATTTAAGCAATGTTACCAATAATAAAATATGGGAAGTAGTTCATTATGAAAAACGTGTCTTAAATCCTAAATAAATTTAAATGTTTATTTCATGTAACGTTGCAAATTTTAAGTAGGTTTAAAATTACTTTACGAAAATAAAGTGTAATGTATAGAACTTGTAATCGTTTGATCAAATTAATAAGCAAATATTCCGTCAATGACAACATTGTTTTTAAACCTATATCATTACTATGTGCCTAGTTTAAACAACACTGTGGTAGCAATAAAATACCAATAAAGTATTTAAATGGGCAATCCTGAGTTTTTAAAGCATAAAACTCGTTTTTACAACGTTTTAGTAAAGAAGACAGCGAACAGTGATTGAGCTGCCTTTTGTATCCTGCTAAAAAGTATCAGTTTGTAAAAATTATCTACTTACTACTTTATTTTGACACATCTAAATTATTTAGGTATAGTCGAATACTTACTGATTTCATGATGGTGAGTGTACAATATGGAGAAGAGTGAACTACTGATCATTGTTGTGGGAGAAGCCATATATACATGTCTCGGCTACGGTTGGCTGGTGTATCTTAGCCACTCGGAATTTCTAAATTAGTTTCAAATTGACACGAATATCATACGGAAGTATGAGCTTTTGTTTGCTATAGTTGTTATAACACATGAAGGTGTGAAATATGTATGTATCAAATAAGAAAATAACTAGCTGTTAACCCTCGGCTTCGCCCAACATAGATTTGTGATTTATTACTACTGCAGTACTGTAGTACAATGAGCCCGTTGAATCCGCAACTTCGCTAAAGGCTGAAATGACCGTTTGCATTAAATTTACGTTATTAAATTATTAGAAGTTTTGGAAGAGACCGTGGCAAAAGGGTGCAACCCATCATTGCGGAAATATAGTACTGTAGTTTGTTTTGTCATGAGCAACATTTTTAACAAAAATCGCATCATCTTTTATGATCTTATCTTGGTCAAAATCTGTTTGGAATTGGCTGAGTGGCCGAGTAGGCAGGTTTGCTATAATTTATCCCTGTATTAAATTTTATCGAAATCTGTAACTTTTTTTCTACAGTTTGGCTAATTGTAATAGCAAAATAACATTAAAACAAAGTTTTATGATAGAAAATGTCCAATGTTTTTTTTACGGATTTTATTCTGTATGTATTTCGGAACTGGAATGAAGTGCGTAAACTGGAACTGCATTGTTTTGAGGCGCAAACATGAGGAAAAAGTCAATTTTCACAGTTTTGACCTAAAACTGATTTTACTCAAAACCCGTTTTAGAAAAAAAAACTTAGATACTTTGTTGTAATAATTGTAATAAAAGGTTGTAGATAATTTGATTCCTCAATACCAATTTTCCATCAGATTTAAGATCCAGGCATTGGTTCATCTTATACAGACCAAAATACTCGTACAAAGGCTTAATGGAAGAATTTCAATGGAAATTGCTTTTTTTTCTCCTTAAGCCCCCTTAAAATTTTGAATGTTGCCTTATTGCACTTTTACACCATACACATCTACCCCCTATCCCAAACTTGACAATTCTTTGTCGTATATTTTGTGAGATATAATAATCATCTGGCAGTCAGAGGTATTTGCCTTTTATAAGTATAGAGAAAACTTAAATTTCAAACTTTTTTTCAAAATCATTACGGTGGTGTTAATATTTATGATTATTAAATAGACTATGAATCTTTTTTCCGTTAATAAGCTTTTTCAATAATAGTTTCGTAAATATAATGCATAAAGCTGAATTTAACAAAGTAGTAAACGTCTAAAATTGTTTTCAAATATCTCATAAGTGTATTCCAATTTTTAGATGTATTGATTAAAGAAAAAAAGTACAAGTATAGTTACTTTAAGGGTAGTCCTCTTTTATTCGCATAATTCTTTTGACTAGTATTATCAAAACAAAAGCAAAGATTATACCTATTCTCTTATAAAAGTATCATCGTTATTTATCAACTAAAGACAATGTTATTGGTAGTACATGTTATTACAATTTATGTAACGTTTTAAGGTTTATTATTTACTATTTTGACCGACCATTGAACACAGTATTGCAAATAAGTAACAAAATATTTATCCAACAAGGAAAAACTGTCTGAATTTCTTAAATATCAAAAACATTATTATTATAACTATTACACGAAACGAATCGAAAAACACCTTCAAATTTTATGAATGGATTAAGTTGAATACCGGTAATTCAAGACGCATTGCATTGTTTCACTTTCACTGTATTTTAATCTCGGTTACCAGAAGGGTCAGACCAACCAATTTATACTAAACAACCAGTAGTGGAGGTACCCACATTATCTATTATTTTGCAAAATATACATTTAATTTAGTACATTGGTTTACTTAATAAACCATATATTCAAAACGAGTGTAAAATTTTTCGCCATTACATGAATTAAATATTTTCAGAGTATTAAACATATTGAATATTTATGCCTATTTTCCATATTTTGCATTGTCTCACACAAACTATACTGAACAAAGTACCTTGGAATTTAGGACACTAGAAGGTATAGCAATTTTCTTATAAGATAGAACATAGTGAAATACACCAATTTTAGGGTATAGTTGAAATTATTAGTTTTAGGTACTTCGACAATCTATTTGACACTAAAATTCTGTAGTAAGAGTAATTAAAATCTTAAACAGTTTACATAACAGTTTAGTTGTTACTGACTATCACCCTCTGATGATTGATTAATTCAACAACACTAATTTTCATTCTTAAACTAGCTACAGCTTGAAAATGGGATTCTGATGTATACTAATCTAAATCTCCTAGCCAAAGTCACTACCAAAACGGTAGCGGTCGAACGACTCCTCGTTTCCAAGTTTACAACTGGCCCGAGCTCGTTTGCCAGTCGTCCAATCAGTCAATGTCGCTAATTTGGTTAAATTATAGTCGTAGTGTGGCGCCATTATGGCCACATGTTAGTGGAAAATTTTACAGTTATCTATCAGTGAGGCTGTGGACGATGTTTGTGTTATATAAACAGTTCTTTAACTTATCAAAATGCAAAACACAGGTGGGACGCGTTATATTAACCATTCAGATGGCAGCGTATATTTTTTGGAATCTTGTAAAGCATGTCCAGTTTGGGTTGTGAGACAGAAAGTACAGGAATTGAACAAAAACACGAACAAAGAATGGGTGTTAGTTTAAATTTATTGATCTGGATCTATTGTATGTACATTGTGCAGTATTATGAGTTAACTACTCTGTTGGATTGGTCGGACTCGTACTGCAAGACTTAAGGTCTAGGATTAATACATTTTTAATTATTAATGCCATTTTGATATGTAACGAAACCACAACCAAGTAAGCTGCCTTAAAATGTATGTCACCTACCAAGTGAAGATGGAACTTTGAGGCAAGATTTCTTTGCCGGTACTTGATATCTCACCCTACAAAACCCTTTCTATAAATTCCTGTAAGGCCTATGTTTTTCAAAATTTAATCCATTAAACATTTAAGACAGCTAAGTAAGTTACAAACTTTCCTAATTGACTAATAATTAGGACAAGAATTTAAATCGAATTAAATTTTACCTATTATGGTTCAACTTTTATTGCATTTTTGACTATGATTAGATCTAGACGCGCCGTGCTTATGTTACAGTAGCTGTCACCTATTATATAATGAAAATGTATGTAGTTGAACTAAGCTACCGACCGAGTTTACTGATTTAAAAAATAATTCTTATACAGTCTACTGGAATATGCCACATTTGTACCAAATTGTACCAAGTTTATGAGACAGAAACAAAATCCTGTACTACAAAAATGGCCAACGTCACAAATTAGGCCGACTGGTGATAGTACTGTATTTAAGAGTCGCACTTATTAATATATTTTCCATACATTGCACTGTATTTTAAGGTTCCACGATTTGTTGTTTAATTTAAATATCAATGGGGTACCTTGTGTAGCTTCCTTTTAACTATGATCAGCTTATCAGTTAGTCAGTAAACAATTGAAATACCAAAGACAACGGACAAATGGTTCGATTTAGAATTATGTTTAAGCTTATGTGCTTTTCTGATAAGTGGCGTCACTCTGATTCGTAGAGTGGGTGTACTGTATAATGACCCATCTTGATCTATTAACCTCCAAGACCACAATTCCACATCAAAGTAGTTCTCGGTATCACCGGCAATTGCGATGTTTTTCCCACGTCGTCGCAAGGACTAGCCTCACAGGAGGTGAAGTGATTCATCTCGTCAGTTTATATGTATTTTGTGAGTTGTCCATAACGAGGTGGCAGTCCTTGTTCCTTTCGCTACTTGCCAATGTCGAGTCAACAAGTAGGTTAGGCGGGTAAAATATCTGTCGCGGATCAAACAATACCAGTACTACAAGTACAATAACTGTACTAACAGTACAATATTTTCTACAATTAGTGTACAACGATGTTTGTACAACGATCGTAAGACAAAAATCTTCCACCCAATAGCTGTAACAGGTAAAGATCTCCTGTCAATATTATACGAATGTGATTGCTGTACTATCATTGTACTACGAGTGAAATATTTTGTACAATCAGTGTAATACCAGTACAATACAAACACTATAATTCAAATAAGGTTCGATGCACAACCCTTGTACTAAGAATACAATCTTTGGTAAGATCGATGGGTAAGATAAGATAATGTAAAATAATCCGCAAAGTAACAGTGCTTTTAGTGCCCTACATTGTACCTAGGTTAGGTGAAAGTACAATTGTTACTTAATTTTTTAAATATCTATGTATAATCTTCGACCACAGGAACAAGATATCTTATAATCACTGTAAAACTATGTTTTTTTATTATTTTTTTGATCAATGCAACCTTATGAAATTGTCTGTAGCACACTATTGGCGTCTAAGGCTTGTAAGTAGGCCTACATAGATTAGATTGGTAGCATACTATTTACCTAGCAACAGGAATCATGAAATAGCTATTTATCCACTCTTTCTATAATTAACTGGGGAAAATACACGCTAAGTGTGAAACTTAGTCCAAAAACTGTGGAAAAAGTAATTATTAATCGATCAAAAGTAGAACACCGTGGTCCAAACATGAACAACGAGTTTAAAATAGGCCCTAATATTACATTACGTCGTTAGTCCCCGGTAGGCCTACATAATTTTCTTAAACAATAAATATCAACATAATATATTGATTGTGTATTTATTAACTATTAAGGTAATCTCGTGTGCTGGCAATACACCATTCTTGACCTAATAAAATTAGTCTAACACACCACTACCACTCCATGTGACCTCATTATAGGAAGTAACGCCATGAATTAATTCACAACATGTAGTCAGTTAGCAGACCTTGTCGTTGTCGTTGCCTTCACATTTGTCGCAAATTACTGCTTCATCGGAAGACAACATTACCGTGATTGTCGCGCATTGGAATATTTCCGCGCCAAAATGACTGCTTGTCAACGAAATCAGCTGTGTTTAGGCGGGTGTCCTCACCTGTTG